TATCACTTTATTCAAAAATATAATTATTATTTTTATTTATAATGCAAATGACAAAAAAAAATAATTTTAGGATCTGTCATTTTTTTGCAAATATAAGTGTACTTAATTAAGTACATAGTTAATTATCATCAGGCGATTCACTGTAAAAGAAAATTAAAATGTACTTTTAGAAAATAATATAATAAATCCTGGACAATTAATAAAAAAAATTTCTAACCTTGTTAAAACTGTAGTATATATTAAATGGATATGTCCAGCCCAACAATCTAAACACATTCCTTGTGAAACTGTACAGCTACAACAGGTATAAGTACATTTACTACAACCTTTGCATCGGCATTGAACATATTTGCTTTTGAGTTTCGAGATTGTGAGGTCACTATTAAGGTTGATAAGATGATGCTCAAAATTATTCAAGTCTTTTTTTCATCTTTTTTTAGCTCGATCAGCGATTGTTTGATCAGAATAACACTCAAAGATTGATCTTGTTAATGCTTACGAAAATCAACGTGTTTCATGTCTTTCTTTCCCAGTACAAACCGATAATATGCAGAGAAGCTATTTGCTTCCACAACTGAACGGTAAAAGGCAAAAATATGATCTACAGAATATTTTGAGACAAGAACATTGTGATATAAAAGAGCATTATCACATAAATTATTTAATATGTTTACGGCTAACCTGAATTCATTGTATTCATTAAATACAACAGGCCGACAGAATTTTACATCACCAGAACCCTTAATATACTGATTCACTTCTGTTCCAAGAGTAGTTGTAGAGTAACTGGAAAGTAGTACAATATCTTTTCGGTCACAAATTGAACATATGGCTAAATCAACATTATTTATTTTGCAAGTTCGACTAACGGATGATCTATAAGTATCTTCAAGAGTACCAGTAATATCATGGGAAATATTTCTGGGCCAGTAATGACACTTCTTTATTTGTAGAATAGAATAAAGACCATAATTATATAAAAAAATGCATGCGTCAGTGCTATCAAACTATGAATCAGCGATAACTGTTTTACAGTTATGAAACCATGGTTCTACTAATCTTAACATAGATGCGACGGTTGCTGGGTATTGATCCGAAAATTTTTTTTTAATAGCATATTCCGAAGGTTCTGCTGGGTCTAGTCTTAAAAACAAATTAATTTGAGCATCTGCAAAGGCTTTGAATTCACATCCAATAGGATGTGGTTTCCTTGGAATTTTTCGTTGGAACGGGCCTTTATCAACTTTGCCCATCCATTAACACATTGATTCATCCATACAAAAGTATGGATCAGGTAGAATAGCCTTCGTAAGATTTTCATTAAATACGTCGTGAAACTGCTGTGCAAAGTGAAAGGGATCATCATTTTTCCGTGCGTCCATTAATTTCAAATATTTTATAATATTTCGAAATCGTTGATACACCATATATTGACCAAATACCAATGAAACCCTTGCTGTTTCTTGTTTAATGGACCAATAATCACGAATATTAGTACATTTTACATATGTCATAATTGTTAAAATACCAATAAACTTTATAAATTCCACCTACGTTAAATTATTCCATTCACATTCACATTCACGTGCACATCTATTTGTAGTGGAAATTACTACTGACATTATAAAATCAATAGGCATAAAATGTTCGAAGAACAGTCTGGGTTATACTTGTACGCAAAATTATTTTGGGGCCCGAAATTGTAATTTCGGAAAAAAAAGTCGAAATAGTTTTTCATAGAAGATGAAATTATTTTACTTAAAACCTGAAATTTTTTGACCACCCAGATTTATTCTTTGA